GCCCAGCTGTGCGTTTTCAGCTCCAGCTGTGCGTTTTCAGGCCCAGCTGTGCGTTTTCAGCTCCAGCTGTGCGTTTTCAGCTCCAACTGTGCGTTTACAGGCCCAGCTGTGCGTTTTCAGCTCCAGCTGTGCGTTTTCAGCCTTAACTGTGCGTTTACAGGCCCAGCTGTGCGTTTTCAGCTCCAGCTGTGCGTTTTCAGCCTTAACTGTGCGTTTACGGGCCCAGCTGTGCGTTTTCAGCCTCAACTGTGCGTTTTCAGCCCAGCTGTGCGTTTTCAGCTCCAGCTGTGCGTTTTCAGCCTTAACTGTGCGTTTACGGGCCCAGCTGTGCGTTTTCAGCCTCAACTGTGCGTTTCAGGTCCAGAAACGCACAGTTCGGGCCCAGAACGCTGTTTTCAGCGTTTGACTCGTTCAAGCACGATTCGAACGGTTCCAGAACCGTTTTCTCCCCAAGATTTTAGGGGATCACTACCCTATCATGGAGAGATTTATGAGGGGCAGTTACACCCCATTAAACCCTCATTAAGGAGATATTTAAGGGGGCGGTTACACCCTTAATCCCCTATAAATACCTCAAAACTCAACTGAGTTCGGGGCTCTTTTTGGCTGACTTTTTTGGGGATCCTAGAGCAGGCATCTTTGAGCTTTCCACAGCAGCAGAGAGCTTTGGAGATCAGCGACTTGAAGGAGCTTCTTCCTTGGCTTGTTAACCGAACTTTCGGTTTAAATCAACTCTTCCATAGCAGGATTATGATGGTATCTACACCGTTAAACTGTTTGATGTTGATTGCACTTGCACATGTAACATACCACAACTTCAAAAAATACCTTGTGCACATGTTCTTGCGGCTTCCTCCAATCAGCCGGGTGGTGCGAGAATTCCATATAATCGGTATTGTTCACCATGGTATTCAACAATTCATTACCGAAAGACATACAGTGAGAGTTTTCATCCACCCGATGATAGTCGGTATTGGCCCGAATATACTGGACCACGACTAATTCCACCTCAATACAAGAGACAAGCAGGTCGACCACGATCTGTACGAATTAGGGGAACCATGGATCAAGGACGAGAAGGAATTGTCAAGCATAAAAAATGTAGTCTTTGCAAACAACCGGGACATACTCGACCTCGTTGTCCAGCTAGACTCAATAGATAGCAATTAATTGGTAATAATTGACATATTCAAATTGTGATTTATTTTAATGTAGACAATATAATTAGTCGTGGATCGGTTATTGATATGTTATAATTGTATGTGCAGGTATATACACCATGGAGCCTGGACCGACGAGTGATGAGGTCCTATATGACCAGCCTCGACACCGTTCACATGTTATATCTTTTACAGAGGTAACTAAGTTTCTTATAATTTCAATATTGCATTCTTATAATATTGTATTCTTATATATTCATTTGCTTTACAGAGAGGCCCGGATATTGTTATGGTTGATCATAGCCTCAGCCATAGCCGTTGGCATCTAGAGGATGAGCGCATAATAGCAGCTGTAGGACGGGCCGGCTTCTTGACATGTTCAAAGCTTCGTTGGATGAGGCTCGATTGGCCCCTACTCACCGCTTTGATAGATAGGTGGAGGCCGGAGACCAACACTTTCCACTTCCGAATGGGAGAGTCTACTATTACGCTACAGGATGTAGCTATGATACTTGGTCTCCGCATAGATGGTCCGTGCGTTACCGGCAGTGATAGACATTTTTGGCCGGACAAGTGTGAGGAGTTGTTAGGTGTAGCTCCAGAGTCAATGCCTGGAGGAAATATTAAATTGAAGTGGCTAAAAAATACCTTCTCGGTGCCGTTGCCTTTTGATGCGCCGCCAATATTGATTGAGCAACATGCACGTGCATACATTATGCACATGATCGGTTCAATATTATTTCCAGATTCGAGTAAAGATAAAGTGCATGCCAGGTATCATTTTTATCAGTATTTACAATTATGTCTGTTGATTTAGCTTATTTTGATAACTTGAAATGTTGTGAAAATGCTAGGTGGTTACCACTTATCGGGGACTTGGACACGTGTGGTGCGTTATCGTGGGGTAGTGCGGTTTTGGCGTACCTATATAGAGAGATGTCTAAGGTTGCATTCATGAAAAATAGTGACCTCAAAGGGTGTCTCAGCTTACTGCAAGTATGGGCATGGGAGAGGCTGCATTTGAAGCCGAGACTATGCGTGAATTTACAATTAGACGGACAAATTCCACTAGGATGCAGGTATTATATTTTTTAACGTAGTAAATATAATTGTAGTTATTCATTTGGTACTGAATTTTGAAACTAACACAGATGGAATGTCCAAAAATGTTTTGACGAGACCCCGGCGAGACAGTTAGATTTCTACCGAAATGAGCTTGACCGCATGAAGATTTTTCAGGTATCATTTCTATAAAAACGAGTTTTTTCTTCTATATATCAACTTTCGTTTTAATGATATGCAACAATTATATGTAATACTCTGTAGATGGAATGGGAGCCCTACACCCCATTTCTCGATCATCTACCCCCGATATGCACAGAATACCCAGTTATATGGAGAGCCAGAGTTCCTCTAATATGTTTCGAGATAGTAGAAATGCATGTACCGGATCGCGTGCTTCGACAATTTGGTCTTGCACAACATGTTCCGCAAATTGTTGAAAAAATAGAGAGGAAGGCGAAGAAAGGAGGCCAACAAAAGGACTGGGCAGCTGAGCATCAAAATTATATACACAGATGGAATGATAGACATTTTTGTATTGTTGAGCAAATCGAGCCAACTCCCCAGGAATCAGATTACTACACTTGGTATTGGAGGATAACTAGAAGATGGATACTCCATGCGACCACATCCCCGGTTGAGTTGCAAAGAGGATATGTGCCTCGGGGTATAGATGAGAGAGAATTAGTAAGTATTTTCAAATTTATTTTAAGTTCATTTTTATTAGAATTTTTCAATATTGCTAAATTATGTTTTTTTAAAAATTTGCAGGTATCAGCAATAAATGATGTTCAAACCATTGCAAATCGTGGCTTGGAATTGGCTCGAGCAGGTAATATAGAATTAAATATAAAATTTACATATTGTAATTTGAATTTTAAAGTAATTTTTGCATTTCGGATTTTTTTGAATTATCTCTCGCAGGTACATATCCCGAAGCACAGAAACATGCATCAATATATCAGTCGATAATGCAGAGGCTTCACCAAGCCTTACATCGAACTCATGAAGACCTTCATGATGGACGAGAAGTACCTCAATTAGTATACACACGTCAACAACGACACAGACGAGGACGACGCAGAAACGACAATGAAGCTGGGCCTTCCCAACGTGTTGACGATGGAGCTGGACCGTCACAACCACAAACGCAACCGGATCATGAACTCATCGAAGGTCGGGATAGAGGAGGCCGAAGACAAAGGAGGAGGAGAAGAGTTCTTGGATGTATGTAAGCTAATCGGTATTGTTATATAAATTACAATCCTATTTTGATATGTACATTACAAACGTATTTCGGGACAATAGATGGTTTTTGGATTTGTAGCTGAGATTGTGGTGTGACTTATTAGATTTGTAAGTGGGTTTGTGGCGTGATTTGTTGGATTTGGATTCGTAAGTTTGTGGTGTATTTTATGATTTTTAGATTTGATATGTGTTTATACAGGGAATTGACATGAGTTTGTACAGGGAATTGATATATGTGTTTATGCAATGGTGTAATTTATGATTGTTGCATTTGAAATATGAGTTTGTACAGGGAATTATCTCGTAGCAGAAGTGTATGGTGAATGTGCAGGAAATGCACGGGACTGCTAGTCCCGTGCATTTCATTGCGCCCAGGATATGCACGGGACTAGCAGTCCCGTGCTCTTGTTTTGTTGCTCAGACAGAAGGCTCTGTAAAATGCACGGGACTGCTAGTCCCGTGCATTTTACAGAGCCTTCTGTCTGCGCAACAAAACAAGAGCACGGGACTGCTAGTCCCGTGTTATTCAAACTGCCACGAAATACACGGGACTAGCAGTCCCGTGTATATCGTAAAAATTGTTCAGCAGCAAAACCGACCCTTTTCAGAAGAAAAGGGTCGGTTTTGCTATTTAAATTTCGAAGTGGTTGTTCAGCAGCAAAACCGACCCTTTTCAGAAGAAAAGGGTCGGTTTTGCTATTTAAATTTCGAAGTGGTCGGTTTTGCTATTTAAATTTCTAAATTGGTTGATTTTGAAAATTTGTCCCTTGCGAATTACTACAACAAATCACGTATTGGTTCCTTAAATCTTTAAAGATTTTGAAACTAGTCCATTAAATATTCATATTTTAAAATTAGTCCCTCTCTTTAAACATCTTGCAAATTACTATCTTAAATTTAAATTTAGTTCCTCAAATCTTTAAAGATTTTGAATTCCACCCTCAAATGTTCATATTTTAAAATTAGTCCCTCTCTTTAAACATCTTGCAAATTACTATCTTAAATTTAAATTTAGTTCCTCAAATGTTCATATTTTGAAATTAATCCCTCAAATAGTGTGTATGTCCACCGCTTAATCTATGTTGGTAATAATTTTATCCTATATGGGTGATAAGCACACCGTGGTGATCACAATCATGGTTTCTTCTTTTTTTAGTTTGAACCAAACACTAGAAAATGAGGAAATCTATTCACACATCAAATACTTTCTTCTTTTTTAAATTGAACCGAACTAAAAAGGTGATGAAAATAACTTTTACCCCATATTTTTTGCTAAAATAAACATAAAACATAATTTCCATGAAAGCGAAAGAAACACAAAAAACTAAAGGAAAATTATTTTTGAAAGAAGGAAAACAACCAAACAAGCCCTTATACTTTATATGAGATTTTCTTAGGTAAGCCTTGTTTTCTTGCTTGATGAGGTTTGACAGCAATCCATGTCAAGCTTTCACAAATGAAAAGTACTTCTCTTTTATTAATCTGCTAAAAGACAAGTAGTCTAGTACCTTGTTGATTCTCATGTGCGTGTTAGATCTCTCTCTTTAATTATTGTGTTTTCCAACTAAATAACTAATGCTCTGAAAGTAATGGTTAAAAAACAATTTTGTTTTTTTTTAATTTGTGTTTGATGTTCTCCCTTTTCAAAAATGAATTTTTTTTTGTCTAGGTCCCTTTTTAAGAAATCTCTTGTGCGGCATCCTTTTTTACTTTTCTCCACATATTTTCACCCTCTAACCCATATCCTCATGTGAAAAACTCTTTTTTCAGTTGACTAGGTAACTTCCTCACGATCCTTCGGACTATGGGTATCAAATCTCAGGCATGGCTAAGGCAACCCCAACACACGGTCTCGGGTATTTCAAGGATTAAATTACTATGGGTATTCACCGGGCAGGGTTAATTTTTATGTTGTCAAGTAAGCAGAGAGAAAATAACTTTTCTTTATTCTCAAACTACCCCCATGTTCAATCTCTCATCTCTTTTTTTTTCATGAACCCTATGAAAAATATTTTCTTTTTCTTCTCATTCTCTTCAACCATTATCTTTTTACACCGCCATGGCTACTCCACCAATTTTCCTCTTTATTAAACTATCTCTTCTGCTCTTTTCATAACCGATGTCGCTTCACCCAAAGCCCGTCTTATTTGGCTTAAAACGGACCGTCATGCCAAAGTTAATATTTAATAGTCAAAGTTAACAGCTAACAATTCAACTTAACACTTAGTATTTAAAGTTAATACCTAACCGTTAACTTAATACTTCACGGTTAAACTTAAATCTAGCGTTCTAAAGTTAGCAGACATTTTAAAGTTAACGTGTGATGTCTAATTAACAATTAAAGCTTTAGTATTAAGCTAACCATTAGGTGTTAAAGCTAACTGTTAGGCATTAAGTTTCACAGTTAAGTGTTAGGCTTAATTGTTAAGTGTTAACTTTGACATAATTTTAGAAGTTGGGGTTGCCTTTAAAATGTCTGCTAACTTTAAAGGGAGTGGAAGGTAGAAAAGTTGGAAAAGGAGGCTAGACACGTTTCACTTTGGTCATGAGCTTGATCACATACTAGTTCTCAATTTGACGCCCAGACACAAATTTTCTTTTTGAAAATGTATTTTCAATACTACATCTTTTATTTTAATTACATATGTTCGGAGATAAGCAATGATTAACAAAGAACACACACGTTTTGCCCCCCAAACTAGTCATCTAACTTATACTCTTCGTACACGGGTATCCCTAGCCCTAACTAGTGACCAATTCCTCGATTCAACCCTGACTTGAGTACGCCATATACCCTCAATTCACCTCGACTTAAGTATGCTGTAAAAACAAGTTTAAACTAAAAGATGATTAATAATTAAGTGCAATACAGAAAAATCATATAGTCCTTTTTTATTGTGATTATTCTCAGAAAGATTGAATCGTAAATCCGAAAGAACGACGATGATGATGAGGCCAAGTGCAGCACTCCTTGAGCGTTAGATGATCAGATGATGAAGAACGATGTCCATGATGCTTTTGGAAAAGTTTGAGCAAGATCCTTTAATTTATCCAAATTGAAACCTTAGCTCACTCCCTCTTCCTCAAAGAGCCTATATGTCCCTTAACAATGAATAACTAAGATTGAGTCCAAAACAGATCAAACTAAGTCTACATGGACACAGTCCTAACAATTTTAAGCCATATATGCGCCTAAGCCACATGTTATCAAAATCTTCGGGAGTGTTTGTGTTGGGAATAGAAGCTGTTTAGAGTATAATTAGCACAAAATGCAGTTTTAACAGAATTAGATAATGATTCAAAATAGATA